GTAGGGAATCCTCCTGCTAAGTGTCTATTCACATCATTCATTGTAGGTAAGAAAAGGACCGAAAATTACCCAGCCCAACTGGCCAGTGACTCATAAGTCTTGTAGAGTAGCATCCTGATGTATATGCGTCCATATGTTATTTTTTTATTAAAAAAACACAAACAGACAATTGACTAGTAATGTATTCGATAGTGACTATAATTGCACATTTCAATGATAAGAAGTACATCCACAATGGTGTGAAACTATTACCATCAATACCATTTCTAGAATTTTTTCCAGAATCCCAAAGAATAGCTATTACATAACGATTCCCCCATTCCCCTGCACCTCAGGAGTAGGGAGTTATTATTCTGCGTTCTTTCCTTGTGAATTTGTCTAATCTGTGATTCTGTCCTTTTGTTTCTGGTGCATTTCACCCAGTATGATATCTTCAGGGTATACCAATATTGAAACATGTGTCTGTCACACCTTCAGGCCTTTTATGGCGGCAGAATAGCCCAAGACATAAATGTGTTTACATATCTATTGCATTCTGATTATTTACTGTCTGATCATGGCCATAAGACCGTAAGTCATGTCTATGGGCTCTTACGAGTAATGCTGTTAAGAACATTGTTATAAAAACTTCTGTTTGTGTCCCTGTCTTCAGTTCTTTAAGATATGTATTTAGAGTTGAATTTCTGGGTTCATGTGGTCATTCTAGAACACACCAGAGATACACATAGTTTTCAAATCCCTTACACTCGTGAGAACACTTGGTTTTGTTGATTTTACCCCGTTTTGACTGTAGCTACCCTAACCAGTGTGAAGCAGTCTCTCAGTAGAGCCAGGCGTTCTTCAATAGGTTTTCAGAGGTTCAGAACAATTCCAGGAAGCCGTTGAGGTCTCTCCCTGGAAACAGGAAGGTTCTTATCTAATACTTAGTATCCTTCTTCAGTAAGACTCAGCCTTGGTTACAAACCAAGAATGGCTTGGGGGCTTCAAAAGTTCTGACATTCAGATGGCAGACAAGTCCAATTAATGCAGTATTCTTTCTGGGTGGGGCAACGTCACTAGCATCTTAAACGTGTGTGTGTGTGTGTGTGTGTGTGTGTGTGTGTGTGTGTGTGTGTG